ATATATATATATATGAAATTATATGCTTGAAAAAATAGGTCTCAAATCCACCCCTTCTCTCTGTTCCCACTGCCAACTTCTTGGTTCAGGGTCCCATCTTTCACCGAGACCAGCCTCCTAACAGGCCCAGTCTTGCCTCCTTTTAATACATTCTCCACATGGAAGCCAGAGTGGCCTCTCCCAGACCATCCTGCTCCTCTCCCCCCAAGTGGTCCTCTGAAGCTCCCAGCATCAAGTTCAAACTGCAAAAGATGGCCTGCGTAGGCCCTCCATGGCTGGCCCCTCACTCCGCAGCCCAGCCAGAGGGCATTTCTGCCCCTTCCTCTGTGAGTCTGGTCTCCTTGTTCCCGGGGCCTCTCCTTTCCCCCTCCATACCCTCTCCTGGCTAACTCTGACCTATCTTTCAGGTCTCGGGGTGAACACCTCTTGCTCTTGTCTTCCTTAACCCCTCCTGTCTAGGCTGGGTGCCCCCACACTGCTTTCACAGCACCCCATCATCAAATGCCTGTTTAATCACTTTTGTGCCCCATTCGACAGAAAGCCCAAATGAGTCGGGATGGCATCTGCCATGTTCATTTTTGTATCTCCAACAGCTGGCTCAGGTTTACAGACAGTAATACTTTGTAAATCATACTTAAATGAATCAGTGAGGTTTGCTGACTTCCGTGCTAAGAGCTCTCAGCTTCCTACTCTGCTTTTATCCATAGAGTTGTCCCAGGTGAGTAGCGAGATAGTGAGACCGAGGGCTGGGGGTGCATTCTGCATGCCTCCCCCACCCCCGACAAAGCAGGGAAACAATACTAGGAAGGCATTCTACAAGATCTTAAGTGGGAGAGTTTCAAAGCTGAGACAAAGTTCAGGCTTTCCCCTCTATCACATAGCGAGTAGGCAAGCAACTCCACACGTAAGATGCTTCTGAAAATATACTGGTCTGTTTGACCCAACTAAGCTGACCCACTTTTCCTGCCCTTCTTTCTGCCCTTTCCTGGTCATCACACAAATGTCCTCAGAGCATAGGTGTCTCATAAGAACCTCTGGAAAGTTCACTCTTTTGGTCTGCTCTGAATTGAGATCACAGGCAGCTTGGATTTGGAATTTTCTCTAAGAACTCTTAGAAGTCTCTAAGCTCTGGCTATGTCTGAGTAACCCCAAAGGGCCCTCCACACTTGGGTGGGTTCCAGCCCAGATCATTCTTCTCTTCCTGTCCTTGCAGCCAGGCCAACTTGGGTCTGAGAGAGGACAGCATTCTGGGTAAATTGTTTGCTGGTAGTGAGGGAGTTGTGTGCCCCCACCCACCTGATCCAGCCCTCCCTTCAGGCAAGGTCAGTATCAGCGAATAGCCAGCTGCATTTTCCTCCCGGGGAATGCTAAAGAGATCGAGTTAGTAAAAATCTATCTTATTAACAGCCTGACCTACCAGCATTGATCACACTAGAAGTCACCCCCCACTCCTCCGCACACACAGTCCCCATCATGCGCACAGGGCAAAGCTTCAGTGGAGCTCTAAAAGCCATTTAAATCTGTTCAGCGGTGACTCCTTCTCCAAGGGCTCAAAACATCCCCCAAACTAATAAACCCTGACAAAGCACCACCAGGGAAAATTCCTTGCGGATTTGAGATTTTCACTCTTAATCTCCTAACTCAATAAAGCAAACACTCCTGCAGCAAATTAAATACTTTTATTAAAGGGTCCCCTCCATTCCCTTTGATGTGGGTGTAGGCCTGCAACCCTCCCAGGGCCTGAGTGTCTGTGTGAGGGGTTGTCCACCCCCCACACCACCATCATTTTCTCCTATTACCCCAAGGAGGCCAGAACCCACTAGGATTTGCAGATTCTTGGATTCTGGAAACTTCTAAGACCTCTGGCTTCCCGGAGTAGATCTCACAGCCTGTCAGCTGAGGGAAATGCTTCCCATTCTTTTGTGGGGGTGGGGCCTGGCCCCAAGCACCTCTACTGTTGCAGTTTGCCTGAAGGAGTCTCCAGCACAGCTGTCTAGGCCAAGGTAGACTTGTTGGCCAATGGTCAAGCCCTTCCTCTGACCTTTCTACAGGCTTGTTGGTCAAACCTCCAACAGTGAGCTGGAAACCTGATGCTGTTCGCTGGACAAAAGATTAAAGGAGGCTAAGTAGAGAAAGGGGACTCCAGGTAGGGAGGCCTGAGCTCCTCTCCTCCCACTGTTTCCTGCCCCCAAGTTGGCCTCCAAGCTGCTTCTCCCTCACATCTGCCTGGAATTGGGTTCAGCGATTTTAACTTCTTCTAGTCGTCTTTTTTTTTTTTTTTTTTTTTAAGATTTTATTTATTTGTCAGAGAGAGAGAGGAAGAGAGAGAGAGAGCACAAGCAGGGGGAGCGGCAGGCAGAGGGAGAAGCAGGCTCCCCGCTGAGCAGGGAGCCTGATGCGGGGCTCAGTCCCAGGACCCTGGGATCATGACCTGAGCTGAAGGCAGACGCTTACCCGACTGAGCCATCCAGGCATCCCTAGCCATCACTTTCCTCTCACTATTGGTTTGAGGTCTACTCAGGACCCTTTCAGGGTCACCTCAGATGCTGTCCTCAGAAAGCCTACCTTGCAGGGAAACCTACCAGCTTGCAGATAGTAACTGTCAGATCAGACCCTTTTCTATTTCAGGAGGAGCCTCCTTCTAGAAATATTATCTCGTACAGTTTATCAGTTTCATTACAGGGTCTAGAATGCATAAGGCTCAGTGGATCCATTCTGAGAGAGACCAGAAACAATATTTTGTCTGTGGTGACAGACAATCAGGTCTCTGAGGGCCCTGAGGCATTCTTAGCAAGGGCTCTGTGGGCATGCGTGATAGGCCCTCACAGAAGGTCTGGTCCTGGCATTTGTCGCCAGGGGTTCTGGATGCAGCACTTGCCCAGTGGAGAGAACACTCTCTTCTTACTGGGTCTCTGAGAAGGCCCTTCTCAACGTTCCTTCTATTTCCCCACCTTGGACAAGAAAGGGAGGGGAAGCACCAGCTCCTCAGAGGCATTAAGCCACCATAACCCAGACTGGGCTCTATTTAAAATGTCCTACCCTCTCTTCTCAGCCCTGAATAGATGCCCTGGTCTCTGTGGCTGTCTCTATTTCTCATCCCAGTGGAATTGCCTCCAGACTCTATTTCCATGGCAACCCAAACCTAGTCCCTGGAAGTTTGAGGAAGGGGAGGGAGGTAGCTGAGAAAACAGAGAAAGCACGACAAAGTGCATAAGCCCTCAAGCTAGGGTCCAACAGGCCTGGGCTAGAACCCAGACTCAGCAGCCTGCACACTCTGACCCTTGCAAGCTATTTCCCCCTCTAAACCTCAGTATCCTCATCTATAAAATGGGGATAGTAATAGCTCCCACCTCCTCAGGGTCATTGTGCAGCTTGTGTGAGATAAGCCTGTAAATTATTTAGCATATAGTAAGGGCTCACTGAATGGCTGGTAAATAGAGGCTCAAGGGCTTCCATACAGGGATTAGGGCAGACCATGAGGCTAGAATTCATTCTTTCCCGGAGGCCTGCAGGGGTTTGGTAGTCCACCCAGGGGCCTTTCTTCCAGGAGAGATTTGAAGGCGGAGGCTTGGGGATGTCCAAACCTGCTCTTCCTCGCTCTACAGAGCAACTGCCCAGGAGAGTGAGGTTGGTGGGTGAGGGAGGAGCCCAGGCCATGGGTGGAGCAGCTGCAAGGATCTGGGCATCCTGGTGGCCCCCCAGGCAGAGCCAGTCCTGGACACAGGTAGCAGTTAGTCCAGGTATTCTCAACTGGGGCAACAGCAGCCCCAAAGGGGTCTTGGAGGCGCAAAAAGTTTTAGATATTACCATGGTTTATGGCATACCAAAGTTCAAGCCAACCTGACAGAACCATGTTCCTTAGTATTTAATTCCTCTCATTAGAAATAAATTAAATCAGGGTGCCTGGGTGGCTCAGTTGGTTGGGCGACTGCCTTCAGCTCAGGTCATGATCCTGGAGTCCCGGGATCGAGTCCTACATCGGGCTCCCTGCTCGGCGGGGAGTCTGCTTCTCCCTCTGACCCTCTTCCCTCTCGTGCTCTCTGGCTCTCATTCTCTCTCTCTCTCAAATAAATAAATAAAATCTTAAAAAAAAAAGAAATAAATTAAATCAAATACTAGTTTATATAAAGTTAATTTAAATTAAAATTTCTTGGGGGTGGAGGCACACTTAAAAAAAAGAAACAGGTTGAGAAACATTGGTATAGCCCACTTTTTGGACTTTCTCAACCTCCTTCCCTCCTCTCTCACCAGCCCTTCTTGCTGCCTCCTACCATAGCCTGCCTTTTCCTTAGACTCTTGGCAGCATTTGGTGTTGCTGACCAGTCCAGTTCAGTTAGAAGGCCACCCTGTCCCAGGCACTGGGTATGGCCAGCACTACTCCTTACTCCAATCCTCCCTTGGCTCCATGTCTTTACCACATGGTTCCCCAACAGCCTTCTGACTCTTCTCCTTCTACCGCCCCTATATACACAGTTCCTCTGTGCCCCACATGCACCTCCAGGGCTCCACTCTGCTTGTCCCACCCCAAACTCTGCTGAGTCTCTTTTCTTCAGAGGCCCACTGGACCACTCCACCTGGATTTTTCATGACATACATTTTCCTTCCTCCAGGAAGCCCTCCCTGCCTACCCTAGCCCCCTTGGTGCTTTTCCTTCTCGTGTGGCATTTAGTTTGAACCATTTGACAAGAAAGTATATATGTCCTTGTATTATTCTTTCATGGCCTCAGAGGTATCTGTACTACCTTCCCACCTGGATTTTAATTTGAGAATAAAGACAAAGTGGTAAATGTCTGTTTGCTCCTTAGTATCCGGCCCAGTTCTGGACACCAAGGAAGGCAGATGTGGAGGTCTTTAGGGGCCAGGGAGTGTCCCAGCAGAACGCAATGTGCAAGACGCCACTGGTCAATGGTCCTTCCCACCGGGAGAGTCAGCTCAGCCTGGGCCCCAGGCAGACTGCAGTGGGAAGCCACCTTCTCCCTTCCCCTGCGACTCTGCCTCACCTGGCTGACTCCTTCCACTCCATCTGGTCTCCGTCGTGCTGCAGGGTGTCCATCTCTGTGAAGAGGGTGGGGTTGGGAGCCTCATCTTCCTCCCCCAGGATGTCCTGGAGCTGCTCAGCAGCTGGAGACCCTGCAAAAAGAGGGCAGCAGGGTCTGCTGAATGGCCTGGGGGAAGCTAAGGGCTGCATGGCCAATTGAAATGGGGCAGGAGCCAAGCTCAAGGGACAGGTATTTCCTAATTTAGTAAAACTAAGTCCAGCTTCTGGGTGAAGCTAGACTCACACCTCTGTGGGTTGGTTGTGGGTGAGATATTCTTAGAGATAAAGGGGACAACAGGATTTAGTCTGCATTCAGACTCCAGGGTCTTGCAGCTGACAAGGAAGGAGGATAGAAAATGGCCAAAGCTGGGCAGCAGCAAGAATGGGAAACAGAAAAGCGAGTGAGAAAAACTCTGACCCAGCTTCAGCATAACAAACCCAGAGGGACCCCTTTTCCCACTGGGCCCCAACCCAGTCAACTCCCAGTGCTGGCCTTGAAGGGGCAGTCAGCCTGTGAAAGGAGGTGCTTGTACTAGTGTGCCTCGGGAGCCCACCTTCTTCATGGGCACAGGGACAACCTATTCCTGAGCTCCCACTCTGCTTCCCAACTGCCTACTGCATGTCACCTCCTGGCTGTCTCTGAGGCACCTCAAGTCAGCGTTCCAACACTGAACATGTACCCTTCCCCAAACATGCTTCCCCTTCCTGCCTCCCCTTTTTTTTTTTTAAGATTTTATTTATTTATTTGACAGAGAGAGAGCACAGCAGGGGGAGCGGCAGACAGAGGGAGAGGGAGAAGCAGACTTCCCTACTGAGCAGGCAGCCTGGTGCGGGACTCCATCCCAGGACCCTGGGATCATGACCTGAGCAGAAGGCAGATGCTTAACTAACTGAGCCAGCCAGGCACCCCTTTTCTTTCCTTTCTCTTACTCAGTATTTCATGAAAGTCTACTATGTGCCAGGCATTGTTCCAGGTGTCGGAAAACAAAGCTGGGAGGAAGGCCCATATATCCCTGCTCTCTTGAATGTCTGTTGTAGTGGCAGAAACAGACCAAAAACAGGTAAATAAAAGCATAAATGATCATTTCAGGTAGTGATAAGCGTTCTGGAAAAAAAATGATAAAATAAAGCAACGGAACTACGTTAGAGAGATTGGTTAAGGAAGACCCCTCTGAGGAGTGTGTGTCTGAACTGTGACTTGGAAGAAGAGAATGAGCCACTTGTACATCTCTGCAAAAAGAGTCCTCCAAGTGTTTCAAAGACCCTGAAGTGAGAATGTGCTGGCCATTGTGTCTACAGCATGGTAAGCAAGAGAGAAGCAGGGCATGATGTGGAAAGCCTCGGTTAAAGGCATGGCTGTCCACCCAACTGTACAGGCTAGACACCCTGCAGTCATCTTCACCTCAACCACTTTCTCTCACCTCCACCCCCGTGTTGAAAGTTTTCAAGAATACTTCCCTCTTCACCAGTCCCTTTGCCCCTGCCCTGGTTCAGTCTCTCATTGATTGTCTCCTGGTCTTCATCCAGTTTTCCCCTTCCTCCAAGCCCCTCTGTCCCCTCAATTTATCATCCCCACTGGCCCTCACTTATTTCTCCATAGATTCCCAGGGGTCAATAATTTCAACTACTTTGTCATCATGCTCTCCCCCCTTACTCCTTGACTTCCCAGTAAAACCAGGCAGCCAATGGCCAAACAAGAATTCATTAGCCCAGTCTTTGCCTCTGCAGGAGTGTATACTGTGGGATGGTGGAGACAAGGCCTACAAGGGGCTTGCAATCCAGCTAGACATGGGTATGAATCCAAGAGGTGCCACTTGCTTATAGGTGTTCAGTCTGAGTAAGCAGGATTGTTGGAAGGAACAAGGAGGTAAGTCAGATAAGGAGAATAGGACACAAGTAACAGGTGCTAATCCCCTTCACCAACAACTGCAACACCCAGGCTCATGAGCCCTGCTGGAGAAAACCATCCAAATGTGCAAATGAAGGGTTTCCACCCTCAGCAGGTCTCAGAAGTGCAGCCACCTCCCACTCATCCTTGTCAGCACCGTGTCCCATGTCCCTCGATGCCATTCCTAACCATTGCTCCTCTCTTCAAGCCTCTTGATCCATCTCCTACCCACCTCACCAAGGAAATAAAGGCCTCCAGACGTAAAATCCATCTCTGTCTCCCTTCTTACCACCGTACCCTTACCACTTACCACTTTGTAGTCCATTTTTGAACAAAGGAGTCCTTCCTCCAGCTTAATCTCTGGCCCCATTTATTTTCTGCTGGGTCCTTATTTTTTCAACTAGCCTTTCCTTACCTTGGTCTTCAACTTCTTCTCTCCACTCTTTTTCTCCCAGCCTATAAACAGTTCTTCCTACCCTAGAACACTCTCCCCTGACCCTGCCTTCCCTTCTAAGCTCTCCTGCTCTCCTTTCCGTCCAACAGCAAGTGGTCTCCACTTGCTGTCTCCCCTTCCTCCTTACCCAATCACTTTCCAACCTGCTACAACTGGTTCAGCCCCACCTCTCTAAGGGACAGAGATTCCAAACTAGCAGCTCAAAGATAATGTTTAATTTAGCCCTAACAGAGTATAAAAGCTTTTGAAATTGTCGCTAACATAAAGAACTGTGAGATTTCATATAACAATCCAGATTTCTGACTTTTCTTAAAAATTCAGATGCTCTGATGACCGTGCCTACATTCCTACTTGGCAACAATCAACTAGGGCTGAGTGATGGCTGCTTTCTTCAGGTGGGCATGTACATTTTTTTTTTTAAAGTCCTTTTATTTGAATATAGCTGACACACAATGTTATGGGCATATACATTTTAGTCTGCCACAGCCCCGACTGCTCCCTACTCTACCCTGCTAATCTCATTTATGTTATGCATCTGAGTTTATAACCATGCCCTGAGATCGCTTTTGTTATCTTATTCTCAAACCAGTAAGTTAATAAAACCAAGCAAACGAACAGGTCTGGCTTATCTCTTTGGGTCGTCAGTGGTGCCTGACTGCTCCCTCTGAACTGACATGGTACTCTTGGCTCTCATAACACAGTACTTTCTTGATATTTTTTTCCTATCTCTTCGAGGACGCCTCAGTATCTTTCCCTGGCCCCTCTTACCTGTCTTACTTAAATCTTCATCTTCCCCAAGATCTCTCCTTGGCTTTCTTCTCTTTTCTCTTTCTACACTCTGTACCATCTTGTGTTCTTTATGGTGTCACCTTACAGATGAGGTCACCCACGTCTCCAGACCCTGCCTGTATTGAGCATTTTCAACAGTCACCTGGATTACTCCATCTGGGAGTTCCACAGCCTTCGCAAGTCAACCTCAATATATTCAAAACGGTTTCCTTATTCCAACACCCCAACCCTGCCCTTCTCTGTTTTGAATGACAGCACTGCTAGCTACCCAGCCATCCAGATAAGAAACACTGGACTTGGGGCGCCTGAATGGCTCAGTCGGTTAAGCGTCTGCCTTCGGCTCAGGTCATGATCGATCGCAGGGTCCTGGGATCGAGCCCCACGTCAGGCTTCCTGCTCAGTGGGGAGCCTGCTTCTCACTCTCCCTCTGTCTGCCACTCTCTCTCTCTGTCAAATAAATAAAATCTTTAAAAAAAAAAAAAAAAGAAAGAAAAGAAACACTGGACTCACTCCTGAAGGCTCTTTCTCACCATTCATGTCCAATCAGACCCTAACCTCTTTCCCTTGCTTACTAAATACTTTTTAGCTCTCTTTTTTTTTTTTTTTTTCCGTACCCACTGCCACCATCTTAGTTCAGGTTCTCATTATTTCCTGTTCCTATCGCTGCGAGAGCCTCCTACTGCTCCTACCACCTCTGGTTGCATAATCCACCCCTACTCCCTATGTGGCAGCAAAGTTTGCTTTTAAAACATTTCAAACATGTTCACGTGACATACTCCTGAGTGTCATGGTCCTCTTTGGGCAGCACCATAAAATATTTTGCATAGGACTTAGAAATGATTTTACTAGCAGAAAATACTATTTACCTGTATATAGCTCAATCTACCTCATTTATTTAGATGAATTTTATTTCTGAATTTTTCTGTTACTTTAAACATAGTCTTTTCATTGGGTTATTGATTGCTGACACTTGCTAGCAGACATCAAAGGTAAGGAAATTTTATAGAAGAAAAACTAACAATTGAACAAATAACCGTATTTTTTTTTTCTTTAGATTGGGAGAAGACTAGGACTCTGATTCTGAGAGGACACACCAATTCTCCATGGAATCAGAGCTCAAGAACGACTCTTTTAAAATGTAGATTTGATTATGTTACTCTCCAGGTGAAAAACCCTTAATAGGCTCTGTATTACCTAGAGCCTAGGTTCTATGACATGGCTCAAAACATCCCTTGTGATCTGGCCCTCACCTGCCTTTTTAGGTTCTACCATGTTCCTCAGCCAGATGCCCTGGAAGCCAGTCACCCTTAACCCCAGATACCCTTGACCCTAGCCACCCCAGGCCCCAGCCTCTCCCAGTGCCAGATACCTTTGAGCCCAGCCATTCCTGACCCCAGACACCCCAGACCCCAGTCCCCCCAGTCGCAGATAGCCTGGACCCCAGCCAGTTCTCTGAAGAGGGGGGCACCTCACTCCTTGGATCCTAGTGCCTACTGCTCCCTAAGTTTGGAGTTCCCCATCCCTTCAAGGCCAGACAAGAAGACAAATAGACGGAAGAATCATGGAGAGCTGAGACAGGGCAGACAGCAGGATGCCTGAAGCAGCCCTGTCGGGGGCATTACCTGCTCCCTGGAATAGCTGAGCGCTGGGGTCTCCGGCTGTTGGCACCGCCTCGGGCCCCAGCCTGTTTGTGCTGCCGCCCTGGCCACTGCTTCCAAACGTCCTCTTGCCCACCGGGTCACAACAAACTCGCTTCTGTTTCCAGTTACGCACCACGGGAGGCGTGGGGAGAGAAGAGGGAGAGGGAGACCGAGACAGAGAGAGAGAGAGAGAGAGACAGAGACAGAGACAGAGACAGGGGAGGAAGGTGGGAAAGCCTGGGGAGGTGGCGAGAGCGGGCGGTAAGCGGGAGAGAAGAGCGATGGAGAAAGTGTGAGAGAGACTGTGTGTAAGAGAGCAAGACCGTACTGAGGGTGAATGAAAGATACTGGGAGCCTGACAGAACTGTGTGTGTGAGAGAGAGCAATGTGAGGGGCGGGGGTCCTCAGGCGCCCTGCAGAGGGAAGGGCTCAGCGGCGCTGCAGAGGCCGGAGCAGGCAGCCGGGCCTTCCCAGCAGCAGGGGCGCTGGCAGCGCGGCCTGTGAGAGCACGGGAACTGCCCCGTCCCCTCCCCGCCCCCCTCCCCCATGTGGGCTCCAGGAGAGCCCGGGCACCTCTCCTCGGGCCCCCTTATAAAGGCAGAGGTAGGATTTGCCGGGAGACTCCCCGGGGCCTCCTTAAGAGCCGTGGCCGAAGGTGAGCTGGCTGGAGAGTGGCTGTCCTCTCAGCGGCACAGCGCCCCAGGGGAGGTGGGGGCTGCTGTGGGGTCTCGCGTTCCAAAGCAACCACGCCTGGGCAGTAAAGTTCCACGCGCCTGGTTTCTCCCTGTCCCCAACTCTAAACCCAAACTCCTGATCCTCTACCTCTTCAGCTACTTCCACCACAAGGTGCCAAATAGCGTCACTCAGGGGGTGTTTCCTGAGAGCCCGCAGACAGTGGGAACTGGTCACTGGAGGGTGTGAGGCGAACCCCACTGGGGAATTATTTTGCTCTGCTGAGAAACTCCTAATCTCCTGGGTTCGGTTCAACAAGTGCTTACTGAGCACTTAGAATGTGCCAAGGTTGATTAGAGGTCACTGGGAGGCTGCTGCTCCAAGGGGCGCTGAGCCCTGAATTCTCTAAGTCTCAGGGCTAGGAGGGGGCTTAGCCGCTGTCGAATCCAAGCCCTTTCCTTCACAGATGAGGAACTGGAAACCCAGTTTACACCACTGAAGGCCCCACCAGGGCAGCCTAGAGGAGAGCAAAGCCTGCTGACGTCCTCCAACTCACACTGCCCACCTGTGGCTGACCCCTACTCATCACATTTTCATACCTGAGGCTCAAGGAACAAGGATGCCCGCTTTCAAGTTGAGGAAACAGCAGCAGAAGGTCAGGGGTGTCTGTTTAGGTGCTGGGCTCCAAGCAAACACCACCATCCAGGAGTTTCTGCCATGGTGGGCTCCTCAGCAGGACAGGACGCAGAGGAGACAGGCACCTCCCCAGGGCCCTAGGCTCTACAGGTCATACTACAATGTGGCTGAAGTCAGCCCGCCTCCTCCTGAGCACCACTGGGCAGCTACTACATGCCACACCGGGTCAGGGGCTGGGGGTGACCCCGAAACACCACAGAAACACCCAAAGAGAGATCACCAAGGATGCCAGAGGATTCTCTTTATTGCTGTGGTGCTTTAAGAGCCCAGACCTGGGTTTAACACCTGACTCTGCTAATTACTGGCTGTAGGATGTTGGCAAAGCATGAAGCTCTTGGAGCCTTAGTTTTCCCCCTCTATAAAGTGGGGCTAATCACACTTACCTTACTAGAGAGTGGTGGGCATTAAGTGCAATAATATACGTGATGTGGATGGCCCACTGCTTGGTATACACCAGTCACCCAATAAATGCTACGGCTCTGACTGTTGTTGCCAACGGGTCTGACGCCTTTCTCCCTTATTACCAGTTACCAGCCTGGCCATTTTAAACATTGCAAGGGCTCACTCCTTTTCAGCCTCTAAATGCCCACGCTGCTCCCATGCTACATCCCTACCCTCCGCGCCGAGGCCCTTCCACTCTCTCTGCCCCTCCCTCCTGCGCACAGAAGGTTTAGCGTACCACATGCTGGGCTCCCAGATCAGTGTGACTCTAATGCACTGTGGGCCCCACGTGCATGCAGCACATCAGAAGTTAATCTCCATAATGAGAAATGCCACAGGTAATAGCCCCTGTGGTTGATAGCACACAGCTGAGAGTCACATAGTGACGGCTGGAGGACTGGACTCCACCAGCAGTTGCTGCGTGAAACATAACAGTGCAAGAGCCAGCTTCAGGAAGCACAATAAAAGAAGCAAGCAGAATTGTGCTTTTACTGAGTAGGGACTGTCCAGTCACTGGATGAGCAAAGCACAAAATGATCTAGGGGACTACAAACCAGCAAGGCTTCAACCCCCAGGAAAGACCTGGAAGGCATTTAGGACAGTCAGGAAGTCAAGATGAGGAGTTGGTCCTGTGGCCCTGGGCTCTGGACGAGCCCTTTCAGAGGTTCCCACCCTCTCTCTTGGACTCCACACGGATCTCTAGATAGCCAGCATTGCGAGGCTGGAGTCTGCCTTGCTCCAATCATGCTGCTGGCCCCCAGCACAGAGCTCACACAGCATGGGCACTCAATAAATATTTGCTGGGTGAATGAATTTCACCGATTAACACTCATGAGTGTATCAGCTGGGATTAGGCTTGGCAAGAAAGGAGCCCAGGACAAGGAAATGCTGCTGGGGATGGAGCTGGGTAGCAGCTTTGGGTAGCTCAAGGCCACTGAATATTGGGGAGTGGGAGACTGACCTAGAGTTCTAAAGTCATTGTGTGAAGTGGGTCTCGAGAGGCCATGTGAAGGCCCCAAGTCATAATTTCATGGACAGTAAAGTTCTTTGACTAGGAAGCTGTCCTAAACTCCAAATGTGCTGAGAGAAGAAGAGAATCTGCCCCCATTCGTGTTTACAGGAATTCCTCCTGTCCTGGGTAATTTTAGAGATGTCAGCCCAGGCCATAACCCTCCCCAAAAGGATGACCCTCTGGCAGCTATGTTTGTGGAAGGTATGACCTGTGCCCCTTGGCTACAGGTCATCAGACCACGAACAGTTCATTGGACAGCTGACCCAAGCCTGGAAACTTTAAATTGGGTCTCTAAGATAGCTGGGGCCTTGCCTGATGGTCTCTGGAAGAGAGAGCATGTAAACTGGAACACAAGGGCACAGAAGATGCAGAAAAGGCTACAGAAGGAGGGGAATGGAGGAGACCCACAGGAGAGGCAGGGGAGGAGGCCATCCATCCCAGAGAGGGGACTGAGAAGTGCTGTGTCCACTCGCTGAGCCTGGCTATTTATTCTGCTTTGGGACCATGAGAGGCTTCTTTAATCTTAGGATATCAGCCCCCCCACCCCGACACACACACATCCTCTCCTTGCCCAAGCCAGCTCAGATAAGTTTCTGTTACTTGTGATCAAATTACCTTCTTAATCACGAGTGCCCCTTATATGAAATTCTAGGGTATGGAAATTTTCTTCTGTGTACCTTCTTAAAAACTGCAAGTGTAAGAGTTATAAAGAACGTTGAGTCACTGTGGTAAGAATAGTTAGAATAAGAAAGAATGGGGAATCCGTGAAAGAGGGGAGTAAAGCAATGGCACAGCAGGCCAAAAGCAAGACAAGAAGGAAGGTCCTGGAAAAAAAACCCTGGTCATGGCCCTGGCCGAGGAGCTGTGTCAGGGGACCGAGGACCCGGCAGAGCCTGGCAAGTGCACTGCTGGGTCCCCTACAGGCTCATGGATGGAACCAAGCCTCGAAGATCTTGGTGTGTTGGGCAAGCGGGACTTTTACCCAAATTCAAATAAGAGATCCCTTAGCCTTCCCCGGGAAGGGCATCAACCTCAGTAGGAAATCAGAGTGACCTTGAGCACTTGCAGGAGACCCCCCAGAGAAAAGAGAACACTGATATTCATCTACTGGAGCTCTGGAGGAGGAGGTTCTGACCTTTCTGGGGAGCCAAAAAGTAAAAGGCACATGATTGTACTATATCCATTATTTATCATTTAAGGTGTGTGAAATGTTACTGAGAGTCTTCAATTAGCATGTGGCTTTTATTGTTTTGTTTTAGTGACTATAAATGCAGTAAAGTGAAGAAATCATGATTTAAAATAAAAAAAGACAGTTGCTGCTTCTCCTGCCGAGGCCATCGGGGATGTGGGGGGCCCCGAGTCACACAGGGAATCCTGACATGACCTGCAGAGGCCCGTGGGGAGGGAAAAGGGGGAGAAGGCAGTATCAAGGCTCTTTCAAGTCTTCGAGGCTGCTGAAGGGCTAGACTTAAAAGAGACGGTCTCTGTGTTTAGGTCAACCCGTTATGTGGCCTCAGCTGCACAAAAATGGGCCTTGAGTCAAGGAGGGGCAGGAAGAGAAATTAATGTGACTGAAAAGTGAGGGGACTGTGTGTGTGTGTGTGTGTGTGTGAGGAGGGGGCTCAGCACTGAAAGCAAGGAGATGTGAGGGAACTCGGGAGGGGACAGGGGCTGGGCAGGAGGTCCCCAGAATATGGTAGGAGGCTGGAACTGCAGAGAAAAACGCTCAGTGGGAAATTTCCAGTGGCCAGAGGATTTTTAAGAACAGGGATGTCTAGTATCTCATTTTTCAAAAATTGTGTATCTCTGCGATGTTAAACTTGGTTCCGAACCTCCAGCAAAGCCTGCCACTCACATGTATGCCATATGTAACCAATCTGGGGGGAACCAAAGAAGGTCTGAACTCCATGCCTGAGCTGGCCGGGAGGTGAAGGCAGAGGACAGGTATAGGAGGTGAAACACAGAGAGATGACAAGCCCACCAGGGAAGGACTTGGAGCCAGGGTGACACTGAGATTGGCAGCCCCTGGGAATACACAGCAATTTCGGCAAAGACATGGACCTCCCCCAGGATGAGGTCATGGAGACTAGAGTCCACTTTAGCTAATTCTCCAGGAATAAGGTAAACCTGGCTAACGCATGGTTTATGAAAACTTTCCATTTATTAGGATCCTCATTGGTTCACTTGCAAACGTGGACTCTCAACCCCAAATTCCCCTCAAGGTCTTAAGGTCACTAACTCAGGATTCTCTTCTAATAGGACTTTTTGTTTGTTTTTAGAATAGCTCTCATGGCTGGGGAGGGA